AGCCGGGATCCCACGGGCAAAGGAAATCTGCGTGGGAAGCTGCTGAGGTGGCCTGGACCTCCTGTGTGGTGGAATATTCCATATTTGATTCTGAATGACGTTCCCATTCCCAGCTCCGTTCCAGCTTCCCTGAGGCCTCGCCAGGCATGACTTGCTGGTCTTCTCTGATCCCACGTCCAGCCCTCCTTATTCCCCAGGAATCTTGACACAGCGGGTCCATTCAGCAATTTGAAACCGGGATCCCAGAAAGCACTCTGCTGAATGTCCTTGTAGGATTACTTCTAAAAGAGTATGCTGGACTTCACTCACTAGGCCTTCCTCTCCAGGGTGTGCAGGAAGCCCACGCACTGACATAAAAGTGCCTTCTGCAACAGAAGAACTGTGTTGTGGGCCACAGAATCCCACAGGCTGAGATTCTCTACGCACTGCCCTTTGGGCAAACTCAGTATACCGCTGAGTCCCCAGATAATCAAAGTACAGGCCCATGAGAAGGGATGAGCAGGTGAGAACAGACCCCAGCCCTAAGGAAGCAAACACTCCAGGGGGAGACAGCCATGCAAAGAGGCAATGACAGAGGAAAGCCTAACCAGAGCTGCAAACTATAAGGTGGGAGAGTGAGAAGATCAGTCATTCCTGGTTCAGGGAGAGATCTCATGAAGAAAGCGGCATCCCTGGGCTGAGCAGGGGAAGAGAGCAGAGTGTGGGCTGAGATGTGTGAAGAGAGCCCAAGGTCTACGGCAGGCCAGCCTCACCTCCTCTGCATTCTTGCTCATCTCCAAGAAGGAGGTGCTGCTAACTAAGCCCCTTACGAGGCTGCAGGGCTCTCTAAGTAGATCCAAGGTGGAAAGCTCGCCACACGCTCGGCCCAGAGCGGTATCCAGCAAGCAGCCAGTTCTCCCTCAGGAGGGGCCTCGTGCCATGCTGTGTGCAGTTCACAGTGTGGCAGGGCATGATGGTATCTGACCCGGGCTCTGTTTTGGAAAACGCAGGGGAGAGAAGAGCTTGGAAGCAAGCAAACTAATTAGGGGAGCTAATCTAAAGCAATGATTCAGGGGCAGTGTTACAGCAAAGCACTTCCGAGCTAAAACTGACAGGGCCTGGCAATTAGTGAGCGTGCTCTCACACATGCAGGGGGGGGAGAAAGAGGGGATGATGTCTTACTCAATCAGTGGTAAAAAAATATATAAGCCCCAAACCAATAGAGGCCTAAGGCCAGAATAAGGAACATGAGAAAGGGGCCGAGACAGAGAAGCTAAGAATCCAGGTTTGTGTACACACACACACACACACACACACACACACACAGAGAGAAATCACAAGCTAAAAATCAAATAGCATATCAACAGTATAGAACTCTGGAGGAAGGATCAAGAAATCAGAAGAGTTCAATAAGCTCAATGCATATGAAAGAGTAAATGTT